GGTGAATGAGGTCTTATTGCAGTAAGTTTAACAAGGGAATCACTGTTGGTTTCAATGTAAAGCCGTAATTCAAGGCTAAAGTTAATCAGCAATATGAACATGGCACAAAGTTCAATTACCTTGAGCGGAAGCCATTAGGTCAAAAGGAAGCAAGAAAAAAAAGAAGACATAAGTGCATATTAATATCCGCGTTACGAAATGCATACACAGATGCGCATAAACCAATAGCTATTGTAGCTTCGCAAAATGAAGGAGTCACAGTCTACAAAAGATTAAAACCTAGGATATTGCCCTTACAAATGGATCAAATGAGCCACTAAATAAACGAGCTACGAAGAATTCGACAATTTATAACTGCACATATTAGCAACTAATGCATATTATTATGTTCTAAAAATGAGAGTAGCAAACCAACAGAAGTTTTAAGGGAGGAAAGTGATTTCTCCACCAGCTCTATGGATGCGCTTTACAAAAGATACAGTCTTGCTCTTTCTTACCCCGGCTGGATCAATGAAACGACCCAAGCCACCCACGTCCATGCTGTGAGAGATTAGCATACTTCATTTGCACGCCCTCATAAAACACCGCTCGTTCGCACAACACAAGTTTGCAGAGGATAGAATTCAGGGACAGGCGTTGCATTAATAAAACCTTCAAATTCTAGAAAGCATAACCGGATTTAACCACCTCTCTGCTCAACTGAGCAAATTAAATTTCTTGGTTCTTTTAAAAGTCCGACGTAAAAATTCTAACGTCCCACCTATGATTTGTGACACTAAGCAAATCTTGCCTTTATCGTTACTAGGTCAAATGGAGTTTCTTATAGTGGCAAAGAAGCATTGAAAAGACATGCATAAAAATGATAAAATGTAACGATGCAACTCAGTTGATGTACATACCCGATCAGCCGAATAATCGCAAAGCACAGGGTAGATAAGGAAATTAATGTATGAATGCAAAAGGAAATGGGCCTCGAATGAGCCACAAGAAACGGGCTATGTAGAAACCACAACCGCAGCATGTGTACCCTGACGCCTGCTGAGTCCCACAAGAGGCCAAACACGGGGATCTGGAACTTCATCAGCTATTTGTGGCAGCTCTCGCAAAAGCAATGAAAAAAAAAGCACACACAAACATCTATATTTTGGCACGAAGATAACCAACTACAAAAACAGACCGCCCAAAACAGCACTCGGCGATGTCGATTTTTGTGAATGAAAATAAGGCTACTGCACCTCGACTTCACGATGGCCATTAACGAAAAATTTGGGTTGGATGATGCAAGTTCTCACAATTATCCCTGCCAACTTTCTATACGCACCGATGAAGCCAACAATCTATTAAATTAGTCGGACCATGGCTACTAAATAATACCAAACGGCAAAGTAAGGAACACCAGGTTTGATGACCCAGCATTTGTCCTGGTAATAAGCAAATAAGGATGAGTTTTGCGTAATTTTGTCTGTTTAATGAACTATTAATTACACAGAGAACTTTGAACCGAGCAGTACGGACAATCCACCAAATGCACCAACAGAATCATCAGACCGTCAAAAAAATATTGCTTCGCGCAATCCTAGTAGCAGCTTGGATTATATTTTTCATCCAACAACATTCACGCTCTTGTAAGTAAAGATATTTGCTTTATCAGTTAATTTTAATGATTAAACACAGACTCAAAATTTAATCAAAATATAAAAATGAATCAGTGTATGGTCTACGGAGGGCTCAAAACTAAGATACATCTATTGAAACAGACTCCCATTGCGTAGCAGTGGTCTGCCAAAAAATAACGATTGAATCCCTTAATTTTTTTTAGCAAACCTGCTTGCATCTCCGAGCCATCAGACAGATTCAGAAAAAAACGACTCCAGATAACTTGATCCAGACAAAGTAGTGTCTGTATAGGTATAAACTGCACAACAATGCGAACAAGGCTTAAGGAATGAGATCAAAGCAGTCGAGAGAACCTAAAAGGGAAGATTTGACGCCCTGACGTCAATCAAGGAGAACGGACAAGATCGTGCACATCCATTATTTCTGCAGGCTATTTCATTTTAGCACTGTAGATAACATTTGAATCAATAAGCCGGATACTGAGTCCAAACAGAGAAAAAGGGTTAAAAGAAGGTTTTATAGAACCTCTTTGAAAACGTGTCACCGCATTAATCCTGATCGCCAACGTGGAACAGAGGAAGTAACGGTTTCAAGTAATGAGAGCGTGAAGCCAAAGATAGGCAAGAAATTTATTGAGAACCGACAGTTATCTGCACATTGAAGTACATTAAGATGCCAAAATCTGATATAATGCAAAAGAAAAGAGATACAAGACGGTAATGATAAGCTATAGGGACTTAAAAAGATGCAAAACCTTTCATAGGGCGGTACAAGAGGAGAACCAATCCCATCATAGGTGAACTTTACTAAACTCGAAAGATGATCGTTGTGACTGTCTTAAATGAGGTGCAAAATCAAAAGGAATCCTTATAATTGGTAGCAAAAAGTTTAGGTAATGGATCAAAACCGCAGTCAAATATACCTAGGTACCATAACTGAAGCCTGAGACAGGAAATGAACGGTAGAATCCTTTGAATTCCTCTTAACCATAAGTAACCAAGCGATATTTTCCTGGACGAATGTCTTAACTCTGTTTAAAACGAAATCAGCGAATACCTGCGCAATTACACACCTCTTGATAGGATGATATTACAGTCCCGCATAATCGCATCGTAGCAAAAGACTGGGAGCTGTAGCCTTCCGGAAAAAAATTAGCAATTATCGTCGAAAACAGGTTCCTAAAGCGGATTAGTCGATAATATGGCAAAAGGCTTCCTGAAGACTCACACGAACGAAATAGAAATATAGTTAGCAAATGTAAATTAACCGAGGGGCTGGGAATGATTTATTCATGCCAATGCGGGCTGAACTTTCAACTTACTTCCGGAAGCGAAAGATGGAGGACTTTCTGCTTACAAACCTCATTGACTAGTTAGACACACAAACGTTTATCAAAATGAGACGAATTTCCGAGGTTTTTTTCCTGACATCAATGTATGAAGATGCATTGCCACCCTAATCATCTGCATTGCGAAATTAGTAATTTGATGCAAAGTTCACCATTGCGGAAGCAGCGTTAAAGTGGAAAAGAATTAAACTGAAAACACCACAAATTA